TGTAAGTGGTCAGAAAGAAGCTCTTTAAAAGCCCGCATCTTCTCTTGACTAAATTGAATTCAGAATAGACTACCTGATAATCAGTATTAGAACATCATTGAATGCCGACTAGCGAGGGCGTATCAATATTTCGCATAAGTAGGCATATTACAGGAATTGTTGACCGCACTGTACTTATATTTTCTCTAACGAATATTATTGCACCCACTTCACCTGAAAGCCGATTACGAACAACGTATGGATCATTCACAAAGCTGTTTGGAAAAAAAATGGTTGTATAATCCATGGAGCCCATTTTCGCATCTGGCACTTGAGGCGAAATCTGTTACTGAGGTATCTACTCCGACATAGAACGAATTCCGATTAAATGTAATTGATAAATTTTCCGCGTCTAATATTACCGAACATTGCACATTCATATCTGAGGACGATTAGAAACGTCGCGGTCAAATATAAAATGCCTGATTTGATTTGTACTCGAATGCAATTTGAGAGTGAGGGTGCGGGCGACGTTGGATATATGTGTCTGACGCCATTTCTGCACACCCACCTAATAACGCGTCCAAATTCAAAAATTGATTCTGTATTATAAATTATCCTAGGAATTTAAATGCGGGTGATTAATTGCAGATTTTCAGGTATCTACCAGTTTTTTGTTAAGTAAATATTTGAGCAGCGTACGATGGAGCGTAGAAATGCGCGTTAAGTTAAAAAGTGAAGGTGAGTTTAAATATTTGCCTACTGGTTATCTGGGGCAGCACCACATTATCAGTTTAATCATCAACCTTAAATTGCATGCTATTACATACTCAGGGGAGCATTTGGCAAAACTCATTAAAGCTCATCAAGAGAATCAAGGGACGCTATCGGGAACCTAAAATGCTATACAGTGTAATTACGTGCCCACTTCTACCCGATTTCGTCTCTTTTTTATGCAGCATATTTTCTTTGTACTTTAAGCGGGCAGAGAAGTATGTAGAAGTTAGTGGTATCTGAATCATGTTTGTTGGTAAATGTATGCTCATTTTTTGAAGTAAATAATCTAAATTTGAATGACCTACTGAACCAGTTGTTTAACTCTTTAAACGTAATGTTAAGTTTCATTCTATTAAAGCAAATTACCATTTTAACATGCACGCAAATGCCGTAAAACGGACGTTTATCTTGTATTCATTTTATTTTCTGATACCTTTTGAAGTTTTTTAGGGTAAAAGAAAAGTGTCTAATTCACCACCACAAAAAATGAGCTAAATATAATGAGCATGTTTGATGGAAAAAACGGAGTTGTGCACGTTCTGTAGAACATTACCAGATAAAATAGATGTAATTTGAGGAAATCACCTAGAGGTGACCGACGGATGTGATTAAACGTTTATTTATTACGAACCGTGTTTGGGAGTAATGACTATTCCTGGCATTATAGTTTCACAGTTGCTCGATATCTAAGCTTATAAACTTACCACATACGTGAACCTTTTTAAAACTGACCTATATTGAAAATGGTAAAAAGGGAAAAGCTGTGATACTTGGTATAATGCAGTTTATACTGTCAGTCAATGAACTATCCGATACTCTGTGGAACGCACGGTTACCAGAAAAACATATTTGATACAGGGAAAATGATATGTTTGTGACTTCATCCAGTTATTCTAATACCACATTTAGTATTCGCGAACTGGACTTCGAAAAGCCAAACGTTCTACATTTCTCACTCCGATGGCGTCCTCATCAACAAATTCAAACTCTCTGCGGCCAGGTCTTAGAGAAATGCATCTCAGTTTAACCGAAAGGAGAGAGAAACATGTTTTAATTTGAAGAAATTACTGGTCATGTTTATTAAATACTCAAAAAAACTAGAAGTGTAAATAACCTACAGGTCTGTTGTGTGGAAATTTACATTCTCATTGATATTCCAATGCAGGTCGTGACAAATGTCGGAATTGTCAGTGAATACTGCGGGAAGACTTTGAAATCATTAGTCCATAGTGGAGGGGTTAGGCAATCTAATAAAACAAATCGGTGGCGAACTCCTTGATTATTTTAAAGTGTTACCCTATAACAGTGTCAACTTAAAACCAGAAGAAAAAAAGGGCCTGACAAATTACTGGCCAGGATCAGAGCGTGAGTGGGAGAATGCAGGCATGAAAAATTGGGGCTTGAGGTGTGTGCTACGAACATTACCGTCTACTGTAACATCTGACTTTATATATGTCAAGAAGAGGGCTCAGCCTGAAGAATAAGTGAAGGTTTGGCGGCAGAACAACAGCAATGCACTGCAAGGACGATAACTCATTGAGAAGGATGTTTTATGATGCAGGACTGGGAGAGGGTCGCCAACGCAAAACGCACTACACTCGCTTCTCAAGAACCTTAGATAACGACCAATCCAAGGTCAGTAGGCTATCTTTAGGAACCCGGACATGTGCTTTATTTTAAGAGGATGAACAACCACCGTATTTTCAGTATATTTTTCACATAAAAATTTATCTTGGGATCGAAGGTAGCCACCGTGGAAGGAGACGAGGTGGGGTTACAAGGTGGATAATGGAGGAACTTCACAGTTGTTAGAAAGGACCGTAGACGTTTGCTTGCCGTTATGGACGCATTAGGTAGGGCAAGTGGAATAGTCCCCAAGCCAAGAGACAGATCAGTCAACACAGCCGTATGGA